ACAAATGAGACTACATCAAACTAAAAACTTCTGCCCAGTAAAAGAAACCATCCACAAAATGAAAAGGGAACCCACTGTATGGGAGAACATATTCACCAGTGATACAGCTGATAAGGGCTTAATTTCTAAAATATATAAAGAACTCATACAACTCAACACCAGGAAGACAAACGATCCAATTTAAAAAATGGTCAAAGGACATGAATAGACACTTCTCTAAAAAGGACACATAGATGGCCAATAGACACATGAAAAAATGCTTAACGTCACTAATCATCAGAGATGCAAATTAAAACTACAATGAGATATCCCTTCACACCTGCCAGAGTGGCTACCGTCAATACATCAACAAACAACAAGTGCTGGCGAGGATGTGGAGATAAGGGGAACTCTAGTTCACTGCTGGTAGGAATGCAGATTGGTGCAGCCACTATGGAAAACAGTATGGAGTTTCCTCAAAAAATTAAAAATGGAATTGCCATTTGATCCAGCAATCCCACTTCTGGGACTATATTCTAAGAAACCAGAAACACCAATCAGAAAGAATATATGCACCCCTATATTCACAACAGCCTTATTTACAGCTAGAGGCCCGGTGCACAGATTCATGCACCAGTGGGATTCCTCAGTGTGGCTGCGGGGATCGGGCTGAACCCGGCAGCCCAACGCCGCCTGCCGCTCCCACTCACCCCGGCCCCAGCCCCAGCTCCATTGTGCCTGCCGTGGGCGCGCGATGCCACAGCAGCGCTCACCAGCCGTGAGCCCTGTGTCTGGCGCCCATCCTGAGGGGGGGGTGGGGGCACAGGATGTGATTGTGCGGGTGGTGGGACGCCATTGCTGGCCCGGGATCCAGATCCGGATCCATCCCACTGACGTTTGTGCCGGTTGTCGGGAGCCACCTGGTGGCCACTTTTATATCATTTCTTCCTTGTGGAGCATCTAGGGAGGGGAAGCAGCCCCAGTGCCTGAGGCTGACTTCCAGGAGGCAGGCTGCGCTGTTGGGAAAGTGCTGGTGGCGCCAGTCAGTTGGTCCCTGGCCCATTCTCCGGAGATTGGACCTGCAGGACTACTGAGGGAGTGAGTGGCTGCCACCGGGCCGGGATGGGTCAGTCAGCTGAGCGACACTCCCACTGTGGGAGCGCATTGACCACCAGGGGGCAGCTCCTGCATTGAGCATCTGCCCCCTGGTGGTCAGTGTGCATCATAGCGACCAGTCGACTGGTTGTTCGGTCGCTTAGGCTTTTATATATATAGACTAGTGGCCCGGTGCACAAAAATTTGTGCACTCGGGGGGCATCCCTCAGCCCAGCCTGCCCCCTCTAACAGCCTGGGAGCCCTCACAGGATGTCCTACTGATGTCCCTGTGGGGAGTGGGCCTAAGCCACAGTCTGGCCTCCCTCTGTGGAAGGCAACTGGCCGATCAGGTATATAGATACTTTCTGAAGGCAGCACAGACTCCTTCCTTATTTCTTTCCTCTGTGGTTGGAGAATAGGGTACTAAAAGGTGGAGACAGAACTGTGGCCGGGCCTGGGGCTCTTGTAGGCAGCAGAAAGAAGGAGAGGGCTGGGGAAAGTCTAGACATGGTTTTCTTCAATTGTCCTCCCTTCCTCCGGGCCTGTCGCTCTGTTCTTTCCTTGTCGTGGTGGACGTTTGGGCCTCGGACTGACAGGAGCCCAGCGACGGTGGAGTTTAGCCCCCTCACTTCTCAGCTGAACATACAACCACCTCACATTCCGAAATGGAGCTGTTTTCAAGTGGCTAAAGTGCTGACAATTCATGCCTCCTGGCCTTTCCCCTCTCGAGTTTCCTCCTTGGGTCAGTTGCAAACTTCACTGAGACACCAAAGCAACTCTTCCCTGGTAGTTCTGCACCGGCCCCTGCCCGGGCCAGGCCGGGCACTCTTCCTTGAGGTCTCTGGGTCCACAGTCTGAGCTCAGGGAGGTCACCCAGAGCCC